GAATCACTGTGGCGATTAAACAAGGCCACACCTCAAACTGCCTTCCCTCCCCTTGCCCACTTCTCTGAGTTCCACCCCTTACACGTGGCCGTTTGAGGACAGCAGCTGCTGGGGCTTCTCTGCAGCTCTGCTTTCCTCGCGGTGGCCAGCCCCCAGACGGTGCCCAGCAGCTCTCCTTCACTCTCCTCTGCCATTTGCTTTCACGCTCAACTCCATCATCCCCTCCAACTGACCAGCACACCATCAGTTCTTCTACCCTGGATTTAAATAATCTGGAGCCCCTTCCCTGTCAACTCCCGCCCATATGCCCCCTTTGAGCTGTCTATACGCATGTGCAGTCTTCCTGTCTTCTCCTCTTGTCTCCCTCGAGCCCCTCGAGTCAGGGTTTTCTTCACTATGCCACACACTGCCCCGTTCCGGCCCCCAGGGGTGGCCGCCTCACTCGGCCCAGCAGTGTTCGTTGGCAGACCCTTCCCTTGGCCTCCAGGATGCCCCCCCAGCGGGTTCTCCACCAGCCTCCCAGCTGCTGCTTCTTCGTCTCCCTGACTCCTCTAAGCACAGACAGCAAGCGTGGGGCTCAGACCTGTGTGTCTACCCGCGCCCCCTTGGCAACCTCCGGCATCATACCATCACTGACCTGGTGACCCCCAAATCCGGATCTCCCACCTGGCCCTCTCCTGACCACGCCTCCCCAACACTACATGTAGGGGTCTTGCAGACATCTCACATGTGAGCTGTCATATTTCCCCTTGACCTGTCCCTTCTCTGTTAACGGCACTTGCAACTTTCCAGGTGCTCAGGTCCAAACCTGGGGGCGTTTCTCATATCCATACCCATCAGCAAACCCTGTTGGCCCTAATTTCAACCACTTCTCCCCACTTCTGCACGGCTCCGCCTCACTCACCTGGACCAGTGCAGTCAGCTCCTTCCTGGTCTGCCATCTCTGGCCCTCCCCTCCCACAGCCTCAACATCAGAGTCCGTGTGCTTCTTTTCATTTGCTTGTTAACATTTTAAGATGTAAAAAGAAAAATTCAAACACATACAAAGCTAGAGAGAAGAGTGAACCTCCTGGAGACCATCATCAGCATTAAAGACTGCCAACTCTTAGCCAACCTTGTTTCAGTGCATCCCCCGCCCAATCCTCCTGCCACACACACCCTGGAGAGTGCTTCTGTTAAAATATAAGCCAGGTATGGGACCTCTCTGTCCAAAATTCTGTACTTAAAAAAAGCAAAACAAAACAAAACAAAAGCCAAAAAGCCCTATCAGGCCTCTCACTTCCCTGGGAGACAAAAACCAGAGCCCTCCATGCACTCCACGAGGCCCTGTCACCTTCCTGTGCTTGCCTTTTCCCACTCTTCATCCTCATTGCGCTCCAGCCACACGGGTCTCCTCACTACCCCATGTTCACACCAGGCTGGGCCCTGCCTCAGGGCCTTTGCACCTGCCATTCCTTCTTCCTCAAACATTCTTCCCCCAGATATCTGCAGGGCTCTCCCTGGCCTCCTTTAGGTCTGTACCCCAGATGCCATCCTCTCACTGTGGCCCACCCTAACACCCTACCTAAACCTCCGGCACCCCGTCCTGATTCCTCTTTCCCTATTTCACCTTTTTTCTTTACATAGCCCCTATCAATCTCTCACACACTACATAATTTATTCATTATGGTAAATGATAGTAAATGTATAGTAATGCAGTAGACAAGCCTTTGCACAGTGGACAAGTCTCTGCCCTCTAAATGGCATCTCCATAAAGCATTTTCTGTTGTTCACTGCTGCACCACGAGCACCTATATGAGTGCCCAGCACATAGCAGGTGCTGATTAAGCGCTCCTTAAACGAATGGACACTGGAGACTCCACTACTGACCACTGTTTCCCTTTTCCCACTGGCTGCTAGGATGGCTCTGAGGCAAATTCAGGGCCCCTTCTCCATTCCCACTTCTTCATGTCTTTTGAACCCCTCTGGTCAGGTTTTTAACTCACCATGCCACGAAACTGCCCTTGTCATGTCCCCTGTGACTTATGCCTTAATCTAATAGCACTGATCCTGGCCCCGCTGTGCCCCTCCTTTTCCTTTCTCTTTTCTTTTCTTTTTTTTTAATTAATTTATTTATTTGAGAGAGAGAGAGCACACAAGTGGTGGGGAGGGGCAGAGGCAGAGGGAGAAGCAGACTCCCTGCAAAGCAGAGAGCTCGACGTGGGCCTGATCCCGGGACCCCGAGATGACAACCGGAGCCAAAGGCAGATGCCCAACCTACTGAGCCATCCAGGCGTCCCTCCTTTCTCTTTTCATCCCACTTTTCGTTTCTGTCTTCTGGTCCATGTTGTGCATAGTCTTGAACTGAAATCTTTCCAGGTACAAGACAGTTACAAATAATTTTGAAGACTTGAAATAAGTGACCCCCTATCTCTGGTCATGTCCATTTCCACAGGAGATGCCTCACTCAGGGTAGTGTATTTTCCCAACTACCCATGTGTCCCGGGGCCCGGTTATTGCCATGCACGGCCTGGGCTGTCTCCGTGTCCTGGCCCCAGTTCTGCAGGACTACACAAACTGAGCTTCTGCAAATACCACTTTCAGCTTAGGGACCTCCAGGGGCTCCCTCTGGCCAGTGGTTCTCAACTCCAGCTGCACATGTCTCCCGGAAGCTTTGTAGTAAAAAGCACAAGGTCTGCAACTCTACTCAGATTAACTGAATCAGTAACTCCAATAAGGGGGTGGGGCCCTCCTGGGTGGCTCAGTCAGTTAAATGTGGGACTCTTGATTTCAGCTCAGGTCATGATCTCAGAGTTGTGAGATCGAGTTCCACAACGGGTTGAGCTGTGCTGGGCATGGAGCCTGCTTAAGATTCTCTCTCCTTGGGCGCCTGGGTGGCTCAGTCGTTAAGCGTCTGCCTTTGGCTCAGGTCATGATCCCAGGGTTCTGGGATCGAGTCCCACATTGGGCTCCCTGCTCGGCAGGAAGCCTGCTTCTCCCTCTCCCACTCCCCCGCTTGTGTTCCTGCTGTCGTTGTCTCTCTCTCTGTCAAATAAATAAAATCTTTAAAAAAAAAAAGATTCTCTCTCCTTCTCACTCTGCTCCCCCTCCACCCCCACCCCCTGTCCCCACTTGCACTCTCTCTCTTTCTGTCAAAAAAAGAAAGAAAGAAAGAAAGAAACTCCAATAATGGAACACTAGCTTGAGCATCTCCTGCTCCACTCTTGGGCATATAAGCCAGCCTGCCACCCCAGGGAGGCGGTGGGTGCAATTCAGAAGGATCTGGTTGATTCTTGACCCTTAGACTCTCCCCCCAGAGAAACAGGCCAATGTGTGCAAATAAAAACCAGGGCACAACAAGGATTCTGGCGCAGCACTGCTGGTGACAGAGAACAAATATCATCATAACAACTAATACCTGGAGTGCTCACTATGTGCCAACCATGTTCTAAGCCTTTTGCTGTATTTTAACTCATTTAATTGTCACACCAACCTATTAGGCAGGAAGGGAAAAATTGCATCCACACTCCTCATTCTCAAGACTGAGACTCTGCAAAGGCCTCTGCCCTCTACCTGAGCAGCTAACTTGGGACTTCCTCTTCACCTGAGTCTCCATGGGCTAAGGGGCTCCCCAGGAGCCAACAAGAGGTTTAAAGGAATGCGATCTGGATTGTGAGGAGTCTTCCTATGTCTGGGGTCGAGGGTTGTGGGAATGGGGCCACACACAGCCCCAGATGGAGTGCCAGAACCTCACAAGGGACAGGGCTGGGGGGCCGAGTGTATCCAGTTCACAGCCCCAGGCTACACAGTAGGGGTTTTAGAGGATGAGGCATGTGAGATCCCAAGGACCAGCAAGGAAGAAGGGGCATTAAGGCCTCAGGAGGCTGGGCCGCCCCTCCAGGGACTAGGCAGTTAGAACGCTTGGAGGTGGGGCCCGAACTAGGATTGGGCAGCCAGAAATCTAGCGGGCGGGGCCAAGTGCTAAGAGGCGGGTTGAGAGGCTGGGCGCATCCTAGGATTGGGCAGTCGGAAAGACGGGAGGCGGGGCCGCGAGCCAGGCGCGTCCCAGGACCGGCGGCAGGAGACCCAGGCCGGCAGGCCGGCCACTGGGCGGGGCTCACAGGTGCCGGGGGCGGGGCCGGGGGCAGAGGGGGCGGGACCAGGCTCGGCGGGGAATGGAGGCGTCTCCGCCCTCGTTCGCTCCCTCCCTCCCTCGGGCCGGGCCCCCTCACCCGTGGCGGCCGCTACGCTGGCCGCGCTCCAGCGAGATGAGATAGGCTGCGAGCTTGGCGTCGCTCCAGCCGCTGCGGCGCCGCAGGTCCACCCAGGGCCCGTGCGCCTCGCCCAGGTACACACGCCGCACGTCGTACTTCTTCCGGGACTCGAGCCGCCGCCGGGCTCGGTCGGACTCCGTGAGCCGCGGCCGACCCCGCGCCTTGCGGCCCGCCGCGCCCTCCTCGGCCGCCGCCTCCCCGCCTGCGCCCGCCTCAGCCTCCGCCTCCGCCTCGGGCTCCGGCACCCGCTCCGCCATCCCCCCCTCCCTGGTTACCAACCTCCCCCGTTGTTAGGAGCCCGGCCGGAAGTGGCGCGCATCTTCCGCGCCGACGGGAAATTTCTCACGGACTTTCACTGCCCCACGGCGCCAAGAGGAGACCGAGAGCAGAAACTGCGCATGCGCATCACAAGCGCTACCAACAACCCATTCTTCTCTTACTCCTTTTCTCTGTTAAACTTTCTAACTTCGCAGAGACCGAGGGAGGGGCTTAGGTTTGAGGCCAGCCGCGGGAAGAAAGACCTAGATGAGCCCGTAGACCCTGGGAGGTAGGGGCTCCTCTCTCCACGCCTCATCCTGAATGCATCCTGGAGATGACAAGGGAAGGGGACGAGCTGTCAGGTGAAGGCAGCGGGAAAGCCTGGGGTCCAATCTGTCCGTCCCGGATGCTGCAGATCCCTTGAAAAGCCAGGCCACCAAGCATTAAAGGTACAGAGACGCCACAATGCCAGAGAAGAGAGAAGGCAGCCCCAAGACGCAAAACTTTTATTTGCTGTACACTCAAAAGGCATCTATCTCACGCTATCACACCAGTCCACAGCTTGTGCAGGTGATCGCTCAAGCTCAGCTCTGGCCCTGCTGCTGTCGCTGCTGACTGTCCTCCTCCTCTTCCTGGCCCTCTGGTGGGGGCGGCTCCTCCAGCCCTGAGGAGGACGCCAGGAGCTCCCCGGTGGACCCCGCCAGGCGGAAGACCACGGGGATCTGGGCCAGGGCTGGATTGGTCTCCTGCAAGCCCTGGATCCACTTGGCCAGTGTAGCTTGGTCGTGGGCACCCGCCATGCATATGGCGAAGACAGGACCTTCCTCCACTGTTGGGGAAACAGGTGCTCAGTTTGTGCAGTGGGGACTGGAGGAGCACTTCCCATGCCTGCACCCCTTCCAGGCCACAGGTGGGATGTTTCTTGTGCATCCAAGGCTTTGCACAAGATATCCCATCTACCTAGATTGCTAACCCCATGCTTCACCTGAGCAATGCCTCCTGGGTCTTCAACATTCCACCAGGAAGTCTCCCCACATCCCACCCACACTGGATGGTGTGCTCCTCCCTTGAGACCCCAAGAATATAACTTAACTTGCCTGTTCCCCCACTGCCCAGAGCTGCTCGAGGGGAGGAGCTTGGCCTGTCCTGGTCACACTCAGTAGCCAGCACAGAGATGCTCCATGACCAAGGGCTGACAGGCCTGGAGCCCTTGGGAGTACGTGTGTGTGTGTACTTGGACATCTACTGGGTCTGCATGTGGGGTACGTGTGTGTGTGTGTGTACGTGTGTGTACTTGGACATCTACTGGGTCTGGATGTGGGGTAACTGGGCTGGGTCTCAGCCTGGGTGCCACCCTTCCACCCCAGAGGCCTCATTATGTCCAGTGTTTGGAAACCTGCCCTCCCAGTTTTACCTTTATGGATGTCAAACTCGTAGTCATCCCAGCCGCTCCTCCCGTACTCCAGGTCCAGCTGCATCGGGTAGTGGAGATTCCATTCCTCTGGAATTTCTTCCACTTCCTACCCCAGGGAGGTGGGTACAGCAGGGTCAGAGGCCCAGAATCTTGCAGCCAGCTACAGCCTACCTCCCGAAACCAGGAGCTATCCCTTCCCCTTCTGCCTGCCCCTCTGAGACCTAACATGAGCCGTCAGGGTGATGCCAACAACCCCCCAAACACACCCATACCCCCCCCCCCACTCACGCTTTGGGCCCTTACCCTCTCCTCAGGGGGCAGCAAGTCAGCTCTGAGGATGTGATAATAGACACATTTGTCTCGGAGCCACAGGGAAAAGGGGCCCTCGACGAAGATAGGCCGGGCTGGGTTGTGGTGGGCCAAGGCAGCCTGCTGATCAGGAGTCTGGATTCCTGGTGTGAAGACACACATGCCCAGGGGGCCCTGGCTGATGGACTCTGCCCAAAGGCCCAGGGAGACCACCCAGCAGGCCTGGTGGGAATCCAGCCCCCCCCCCCATGCCAGAGCCTTACCTACAATGTGGGGCTCAGTGGGATCTGCTGTACCCGTGGAGTCTTTGGAAGAAGGCATCTGCAAGGAGGAGGAGGGGTGGAAGCTTGTGGCCCCCAGCCCCTATAGAAAAGCTGGGGAGAAAAATGGGGGAAGGGGATCCCAGCGAATTCAGGGCTCCTCTTGGTCTCCTACCCATCACTCAAGCCCATCCCTTCCTTACTTCTATCCAATTTGGCACTAGCTGCCGTCATTTAAAATGTGTACACAGAGGGAACCTTAGAGCCTGACTTTGTTAAAATCCGGGATCTGCCACACAGGCTGTGTGACTGTGGCCAAGTCGATGTACCTGTGTGCCTCAGTTTCTCCAGATGCAAAATGGAGATAACACCACTTAATTCAGACGGTTCTAAAACCATCTGAGAGAACAGTGCCTGGCACATAGTAAATGTTCCATGCTTGTGAAGTTTTAAAAAGAAAAATTAATTTCACATGCACAGTATACTCCAAGAAGGAGACACAAGAAGCAAATCAGCAAACCCACGACCCTGAGATCAAGACCTGAGCTGAGATCAAGAGTCGTACACTTAATTGACTGAGCCACCCAGGCGCCCCAATACTGATTTTTCATTTTAAATTTCACACTATGGATTTCTTGTTTTTACATCTGTTTGTATATTTTTCTCACACTAAAAATCTTGGTTCCTATCAATAGTAATACATTTACTTATCTGTCAAACTACAGAAATAGTTTTGATATTACTGTTAACCATACTGCTGTGGGATTAAGTTTAGGATTTCCCCACAGGTATGTTTGTTCTTAGAATAGATGCCACTAAGGGGCGCCTGGGTGGCTCAGTTGGTTAAGCGACTGCCTTCGGCTCAGGTCATGATCCTAGAGTCCCGGGATCGAGTCCCGCGTCGGGCTCCCTGCTCAGCAGGGAGTCTGCTTCTCCCTCTGACCCTCCCCCCTCTCATGTACTCTCTCTCTCATTCTCACTCTCAAAATAAATAATAAATAAATCTTAAAAAAAAAAGTAAACAAAAAAAAAGAATAGATGCCACTAAGGGTGGGCAGTTGGACAACTGACTCGGAAGAACTTTTTCTCTCACTGATTATACTATCAATTTGATATTTAACCATATCCATTTGTTTCTGTTTGTTTTCAATTTTAGGGGAATTACCCCCCCTTTGAATTAAAAAATACATGTAAACATTTTCATAGTTTAAAAGTCAATCCATATTAAATAGCTCTCTTCCACTCCTGTTCTCTCTACCCCATCTCCTCTGCTTGCCCAGAGATAATCATTTCTACCCATTTCAGATTCATCTTTGCATTATTTATTTTTGTGAAAATAGGCAAATAGGTACATGCACTTTTATTACCCCTACTTCTCACACTGAAGGGAGCTTACTGTACCACTGAAAATACTTCAACTTTTCACTTGCCCTCTTTTTTTTTTAAAGATTTTCTTTATTTATTTGAGAGAGAGAGAATGAGAGATAGAGAGCATGAGAGGGAAGAGGGTCAGAGGGAGAAGCAGACTCCCTGCTCAGCAGGGAGCCCGATGTGGGACTCGATCCTGGGACTCCAGGATCATGGCCTGAGCCGAAGGCAGTCGTTTAACCGACTAGGCCACCCGGGCGCCCGCCCTTTTTTTTTTTTTTTAACCAATCTGACTGAAGTGTTAGAATCTACGTAGACAATGCCCTCTCTTGATGGAGTCTTCGATTGTTCCTATTCTAAATCTAGGTAGTGTTGGTGATCATTTTACCATGTTTTCAACCTTTCTGTACATACTTTTCATAATGAGGGGAAACAAGAATACATGCAAAGGATGTGTCTGCTTGCAAATGCATAGGGTCTCTTTGGAAGGAGACACAGATGTGGTCACCTCTGGGGAAGGAGCCTGGGGACTGAAGGGCCAGGCTAGGACAGGAGAACTCTTCATTGTGTGTACCTGAGGACTATGTGGCTTCTAATGCTTTACTTTCCAAAATGTAGGAATGAGTTAAACACTACCGTTCCTCTGCGATGTGCTCCAGGCCAAGCCTCTGTCCTTTCTCACCCGAACACCCCATTACCTACTGCCCTAATCCCTTGGCCCTCTGCCCGCCCACATTCAGTACCATCCACGTGGCCACCGGAGGGTGCTTTTGAAACAAACTCCTTCCAGAAACATGACCTCCCCCCCATCCTTCCTCTTCTTAAAACTTCCCGGTGGCTCCCTCCCCACCAACCAGTTCAAACCACACTCTAGCTTGGTGCCTCTGTGCCCCTTCTCCCCCAGCCTGACCCCCTGCACTGGCCAGAAGCAGCCCTTTCTGCATCTCCCAGCTGCCCTCTGAACCTCAGCCCTTGCTGCTCCCTCTGCCTAGAATGCTCTCCTCGCGTCTTGTCCCGCCTGAGTGCAGTTCACCCTCACCTCCTCCAGGAAGCCCTCCCTTCCTCTTGCCCCTTCTGAGCTCCCACAGCCCCCAGTGCTTCTCCATCTCAGAACCAGCAGCTCTGAGAGAAACTGTTACCTGGGGTCAGCCTCCAGGACCACAGGATCCTCCATGTGGTCTGGCATGAGTGGGGCCCCTAGGACATCGGGGCATGTGTGTGTGTGCATGTGTGAACTGTTTCATTCAGTCATTCAACAAACAACTGCTGAGCTCAGCTTTGTGCCAGACTCTGTGCTGAACCTTGGGAGACACAGGGGAAACTGAGTCATGGTAAATGAGCAACCAGGCCAGGCACCCCGTGCCTCAGCCAGGGTGGTCAGGAAGGGGATCCTGAGGAAGGGACAGCATAGATGAGATTGGAAGAACATGAAGTCCCAGGGAGGAGTGGTCCTGGCAGAGGGAGCAGTAAGCACAAAGGCCTGAGAAGTAAATTGGCATAGAATGGTTGGGAACCGGGGCACTTGGGTGGCTTAGCCGGCTGAGCGTCCAACTCTTGATTTTGGCTCAGGTCATGATCTCGGGGTCCTGGGATCAAGCCCTGCATTGGGCTCTAAGCTCAGCATGGAGTCTGCTTGAGATTCTCCCTCTCCCCCGCCCCCACCCCCTCAAATAAATAAATAAATTCTTAAAAAAAAAAAAAAAGGAAGGCTCAAGGTCCAGAAAGGAAGACAGATCCCAGAATACACAGTGTGGGGAGAGGGGCAGGAGGAGAGGTCAGAGGTCAGAGGTCAAGCTGCAGTGAGGAGCGAGGGCCACAGGAATCTAGTGAGGGCTCAGCCTGTCTCAGCACAATCACTCAGGGTGAATGAGGGGGCCCAGGCTGGGGTTGCAGCTGAGGGTGTGGACAGGGGTGGATACCTGGTAAATGGTGACCGTGGCGCTGAGGTTGGGCTCCATGTGCCGCAGGCCCAACTTGGCCAGGTCCACAGGGTCCTGGGGTAGGTCCCGGGGCACAGGGAAGGGGTTGATATTCTTGAAGCGGGAGAACCACAGCTTCATGCGCACGTACTTGAGCATCGGGTAACTTTTCCGTCCAAATATCTGAATCAGTAGGAACTCAGTCTCCTTGTTGGGCATCACGCCTATGTCGGGCAGAAGGAGGCAGAGCCTCAGGCAGGGCGCCGAAGGGGGAAGGGGAGACAGAGACATGGGAGACAGAGAGGGGCAGGGGAGCCGGGATCAAGAGGAAATCAGGAGGAGGCCCAGATGGAAAGAACCAGAGACAGGAAGAATTGAAGTCAGGGGATTGATGACAGAGAGGGAGAACAGAATTAGAATTGAAAGGAACAGTCCGAGGGAGAGAGGAAAGAGAAGGGAGACAGAGGAGAGATTGAGGTGGGTAGGGGAGCAAGCCAGCCAAACAGACAGGCAGAGAAAAGACAAGTCAGAGCTGTGGAGCAGTGGAGGGGCCCAAGACCAGGGAGAAGGAAGAAACCCACTCCCCACCCCTGAGCCTGCTGGCCTCACCGTGGCTCTCCATCTGTTCCAGGACGGCGATCCCACACTCCTGCTGCCGTGGGTAGTGGATGAACATACTCTGGAAGATGCTTCGAGGCCGGAAGACCTCCTTGGGAAAGATGTCAAGCAGTAGGTTGTAGACAGCCAGGTCCCTCTCGACACCGTACTCCCGCATCTTGCGCAGGGCCAGGTAGATGAAGTCCACATGGCCCCGCTTGTGCACGTTGTGCTGCCCGAAGTTCTGCACCGCGCGCACGAAGTTTGCCTTGTCCCGTGCCCCTTCCAGTGTCTGCTGGAACAGCTCCTCATGGAGGGTCAGGGCCTTCGTGGGTCCCTTCCGGGGCTCAGGCCAGGGCGGGACCAGCCACGAGTCAGAGTTATGGGCGGCTGCGCTGCAGTGGAGGCCCCGTGGGGCCTGGAGAGGCACCTGGGGACAGAGAACCGTTGCCGGAATCTGGCACCTCCCAGGGCCCCCAGGGGGACTGCCGGGCTGGCTCTTTCCTGGGAAAGGTGCCAATGGGCATCCCGAAGGGCCCCTGAGGAGGTGTGGTGCTGTGGTGACAAGCCCAACATCAGGCACCATTACAAAGTGTGAGAAAACAACAGTGAAACCCCCATGGAGGCTGCTTGGCCACATTCACCACAGCAAACACACCCTCTGATGCAGGGATCCTGTATCGGGTTTGTAAATCCGACAGCTATAAAAGGAACCTGGGCCAAATGCCGTCTGCATGTCCACTGTAGTGGTGGAAATGGCTGCAATGTGCATCCACAAGGAAATGGTTAAGCACCTGGCTGTGTACGTGAACAGGGAGCACCTGCATCTCTGAGAGGCACCGAGGAGGGTCTTGTGTGACCCAGAACGAGCTCCCAGGTATATTATGAAACGAAAAAAAGCAACGTGTGCAACAGGGTAGAGTAAGTTCCCAGAGGTGTAAAAAAACCTCATCAACTTCTATACAATAGATCTTCATTACTTGTGGATTCCCTAGTTGCAAATTTGCCTACTTGCTAAAACTGATTTGTAATCCCAAAGTCAATACTCTTAACACTTTCCTGGTCATTCACAGACACATGCAGTGCGGTGAACAATTGGAGTTGCCCAAGTCTGTTCATTCCCAGCTGAGTTCGAACAAGGCGACGCTCAGCCTTCTCGTTTTGGCTCGCACGCTGTCAACAAGTGTCCTCTTAGAGATGTTTTTTTAGTGCATGGTTTTCACATCTTCTTGTTGGTGATTTTGCTGTGGAAAATGGCCCCCAAGCATAGTGCTGAAGGGCTGTCTAGTGTTCCTCCCTGCAGAAGGCTCTGCTGCTCCTTACAGAGCAAATAGGATGTAGTAGTGGAGCTTCATTCAGGCGTGAGTTATAGTGCTGGTGGCTGGGAGTTCAGTGTTCACAAATCAACGATATAGAGCCAATCAGTTGTCTTTAAACAGAAACACACATACAACAAGGTATGTATTGACTGGTTGATGAAAATGTGGGCAGAGGCTCACAGGAACCTACCCCATATTTCCCTGGAAGCGATGGTTTGGTATTCACTAACTAATTTGGCGTAGGCGGCCACTTCATAAAACGTAACTACCGTGGATAATGAGAATCGACTGTATGCATATACGTTTTTTGCTCCTGTAAAGTATGTCTGGGAAGAAATGCATTAAGTGGGTAACACCTCTTGCCTCTAGAGAGGGGAGCTAAGTGGTGGCCAAGCAAAAGAGGGACAGACCCTTGTCTGCTGTAGCCCCAGAACTATTTGAATTGCCCACTGTAACTAACAGTATTATCTGTTCAAAAGATACATCTCAACGACTGAGTTTAAAAAAGAAAATGCAGACTTTGGAATCAGAAGGAATCTTGGCTTGACTGTCCTCTGCTAGGTGATGCCCACATCCCACTTTACTGCTCAGGCCTCAGTTTCCCCATCTGTTACGATGGTGTTTCCCCTGGGTCAAGCAGACCTTGTTCCCCAGAGTGGGGAGTGGAGGCTGCTGGGGGCAAACCTGAGGGGCAACTATGGCCAGCTGTCTGCTTTTGTCAATAAAGTCATATTCGAATATAGCCAGGCACATTCATGATGTCTAGTCTGGGGCTGTATTTGCACTACTTTGGCAGCGGTGAGTAGTTGTAACTGAGATTGTGTGGGTTGCAAAGCCAAAAATACTTAATATCTGACTCCTTATGAAAATGTCTGTTAACCCCTGTATGGATAGTATAACACCAAATTTCTTATTTTAAGTGAAACTGAATGTTTAAATTAGAATAACTATATACAAGGCATCTTTAAAAATACATGGCGGGGGGCACCTGGGTGGCTCAGTCGTTAAGCGTCTGCCTTCGGCTCAGGTCATGATGCCAGGGTCCTGGGATCGAGCCCCATATCAGGCTCCCTGCTCCACGGGAAGCCTGCTTCTCCCTCTCCCACTCCCCCTGCTTGTGTTCCCTCTCTCACTGTCTCTGTCAAATAAATAAATAAAATCTTTAATAAATAAATAAATAAATAAATAAATAAATAAATAAATAATAAAAATACATGGCGAGGGGCGCCTGGCTGGCTCAGTTGGTAGAGCATGCAACTCTTGATCTCAGGGTCATGAGTTCAAGCTCCATATTGGGCATGGAGCCTACTTTAAAAAAAATATAGAGAGAGAGCGAGAGAGAGAGAAAGAGAGAGACAGAGAAAGAGAGAGAGAGAGATGTATCTATCTATCTATTTGGCAAATAAGAGCTAATAGTTACTGAATATTCTTCCAGGCATTGTTGACCACTTTCTGAGTGTGAGGCTCATTTAATCTTTCCAACTGCCCATTGAGAGAGTGCTTACAGAGGAGGGGACTGAGACCCAGAGAGGTGAAATGGGATGTCTGGTGTCCCACAGCTGCAGAGTGACAGAGCTGAGGTCAGAGTCCCTGCCCTTAGTCCCTCTGCTCTGCTGCCCCAACAGCCAACCCAATGTCCTACTTATGTGAGGTGATCTTAAAAAAAAAAAAAAAAAGTGTCCATTTAAAGTGAAATCGTAGGCAACTAATTCTGCAGGTGGTATGTGCATAGGTCAGAAATCAGAATGGAAGCTCTAGAATGCCCAAAAGAAAGGGAGACACCACAAAGGAGATAATGTAAACAAAAAGCATAGCACAGGGCCTGGCACAGAGGGTGTGCTCAATAAGGGAGGCACAGACATACCCCCCAGATATTGGGGGTTCAGTCCCAGACCCCCACAATAAAGCAAATGTCACAATAAAGTGCGCCAAATGAATTTCTGGCTTCCCAATGCAGAGGAAGGTTAGGTTTACATTATACTGTAGTCTATAAAGCGAGCAATAACATTATGTCTAAAGAAATGTACGTACCTTAATTAAAAAATACTTTCTTGTTAAAAATGCTAACCAGCATCTGAGCTTTCAGCGGGTCATAATCGCTGCTCACGGATCACCATAACATGCATGATAATGAGTAAGTTTGAAATATTGCAAGAATTACCAAAATGTGACACAGAGACATGAAATGAGCAAATGTTGTTGGGAAATGGCACCAACAGACTTGTTCGGCAGAGGGTTGCCACAAACCCTCAACTTGTAAAAACCAAAAAAAACCCACATTATCTGTGAAGCACAATAAAACAAGGTATGCCTGATTATTATCATCATCACTGTTACTGCTGTCTGTGCCCGTTGATTGGCTTAGGCCACCTGGTCACTCTGGGAAGGGACAGAAGTTCAATGTTCTGCCCACATCTTTACAAATGGAGGCAGGAGTTACCCACAAGTCACCACCCAAATCTACTTAGCTCCTTTATCCTCATTTCCAAACTCAACCCCCCTATCCACATGGACCGCAGCGCTTCTTAAAATGAATAAGGCCCATTCAGCTGGCCTTCAGAGCAGATAGGCCAGCTGGTGTGAGCGGACAGCTGCTCAGCTGATGGTTACCTGAGAGAAGGGGGCTCCCGTGAGGACAGCCCCGCAGATGCCTCTCCAGCCCCGAGAGAGGCCCCGAGCCAGCAGGATGGCTTGGGCCCAGCTCATGCTGCTGCTCGTTAGACAACCACCTGGCCGAGAGAGAAGAAAAAGACAGCATCAGCCTGGCACCCCACCTGCTAACGGAGATGAGACCCCTCATGGGCAGAGACCATGTTCCAGATGGCATGGCTAACTCACCAGCCCCCCTGGTCTCCTCATCCACAGGATGGACTTAAAATGGGTGTTGGAACCAAGGATCCCCATGTTGTTGGGCTAAACCCTCCACTAACTGGAGGAATTTGCGCCTGCTATGGTCTCCCTCCCTACTGGATCTTTTTTTTTTTCTTCTTAAGAGTTATTTATGGGGCACCTGGGTGGCTCAGTTGGTTAAGCATCTGCCTTCGGCTCAGGTCATGGTCTCAGGGGCCTGGGATCAAGTCCCCCGTTGGGCTCCCTGCTCAGTGGGGAGGCTGCTTCTCCCTCTGTTCTCTCTCTCTCTCTCAAATAAAAAATATGAGAGAGTGCACATGAGAGGGGGAGGGGCAGCAGGAGAGAGAGAATCTTAAGCAGGTTCCACGCCCAGTGAGGAGCCCGACACAGGGCTCAATCTCACGACACTGAGATCATGACCTGAGCTGAAACCAAGAGTCAGATGCTTAACCAACTGAGCCACCCAGGCGCTTCTGGATCTTTTTTTTTTTTTTTTTTTTAACAATTTTATTCACATATCATATAGCTCACCGTTTTCAAGTGTAAAATTCAATGGTTTTTTAGTTTATTCACAGAGTCATGCAACCATCACTGCAATCTTATTTTAGAACATTCTCGTCACCCCAAGAAGAAAACCTATACCCATCAGCAGTCCCTCTCATTTTCCCTCAGGCAACCACTAACCTACTGTCCCTATAATTTGCCTACTCCGGGTAGCTCGTATAAATGGAGCCATACCACAAGTACTCTTGTGGGACGAGCTTCTTTCGCTTAGCAGGTGTTTCAGGGTTATCCATATTGTAGCATGTATCAGACTTCATTCGTTTTAATTGCCAAAAAATTCCATTATATGGATATAACAAAGCTTTGTTTATCCATTCATCAACTGATGGACATTTGGCATTACCACTTTCTGACTATATGACTAATGCTGCTATGAACACTTACGTGGAAGTTTTGTGTGAAGAGGTCTTTACATGCCTCTTAGGTATATACAGAGAAGTCAAACTGCTGAGACATATGGTAATTCTATGTCTAACATTTTGAGGAACTGCCAAACTTTTTTTTTTTTTATTGTATGTAGGCTCCATGCTCAACGTGGAGTTTGAACTCGCGACCCCCAGATCAAGTGGCATGCTCTACCAACTGATACAGCCCGGCGCTCCCTGCCAACCTATCCTCTAAAGTGGCCACACCATTTTACATTCTCACCAGCAATATATAAGGGTTCCAACTTCTCCACATACTTGCCAGTTCTTATGGGCTTTTTGATTAGACACACTAGTGAATGTGAAGTGATATCTCATGGTTGGATTTGCACCTCCCTAAAAATTGATGCCGAATATCTTCTCTTGTCCTTATTGGCCATTGTGTCTCTCTTTTGGAGAAATGTGTATTTAGATCCTTTGAACATTTAAAAAACTGGGCTACTTATCTTTTTATCACTGAGTTGTAAGGGTTCTTTATATATTCAGGATATTAACCCTTGTGATTTACAAATACTTCCTCCCATTCGTTGGGTCGTCTTTTCACTTTCTTGATGTTACTGTTTGCAGCACAAGTCTTATTTTGATGACAACCAATTCATAGAGCCGTAAGGCTGATGTTGTATCTAAAAAACCACTGCCGAGGCCAAGGTTATAAAGATTTATTCCTATGTTGGGGCGCCTGGGTGGCGCAGTTCGTTAGGCATCTGACTCTTGGTTTCAGCTCAGGTCACGATCTCAGGGCTGTGAGACTGAGCCCCTGCACTGGGCTCTACGTTCAGCATGGAGTCTGTTTGGGACTTCTCTCCCTCTCTCTCTCAAATAATATAAATCTTAAAAAAAAAAAAAAGACTTATTCTTATTTTCTTCTAAGAGTTTAATAGCTTTAGCTCTTACATTCAGTCCTATGATCCACCTTGAATTAATTTTTGTGTATGGTGTGAGAAAGGGATTCATTTCAAATGGATATCCAGTTGTCCTAGTACTATCGTTTGAAGAGACCATTCTTTCCCCATTTGTCTTGGCATTCTTTTTTTTTAAATTAAGTTTTAAAATTTTAATTTCAGTATAGTTAACATAGTTAGTTTCAGCTGTACAATAAAGTGATTCAACAATTCTATATATTACTCAGTGCTCATCATGATAAGTGTACTCTTTTGTCTTGTCTTGGCATTCTTGCTGAAAATCAACTGACCATAAATGTAAGAGTTTAATTCTGGGCTCCCAATTCCATTGATCTATATGTTGGGTCTTATGCCAGTATCACACTGTTTTTGTTTTGCTTTGTTTTTAAAGATTTCATTTATTTATCTGTCAGAGAGAGAGAGCAAGCAGGGGGGAGCGGCAGGGGGAGGGAGAAGCAGACTGCCCTCTGAGCAAGGAGCCCGATGTGGGACTCGATCCCAGGGCCCTGGAATCATGACCTGAGCTGAAGGCAAATGCTTAACTGACTGAGCCACCCAGGCATCCCAGCACCACATTGTTGTGATTATTATAGTCTTTAAAATTTTAAAATGAGGAACTGTAAGTCCTCCAACTTTGTTCTTTTTTTACAAAATTGTTTTGGCAATTCTGGGTCTCTTGCAATTACATACAAATTTTAGAATCAGCTGTCAATTTCTGCAAAAAGTCAGAGGGATTCTGATAGGGATTGTGTTGAGTCTATAGATCAATTTAGGGAATATTGGTATCTTAATAATATTAAGTCTTCTGATCCATGAACATGGGATACCTCTCCATTTATTTAGATCTTTAATTTCTCTCAACAATGTTTTACAGTTTTCAGTGTATGATTCTTTCACTTATTTTGTCAAATTTATTCACATTTCATTCTCTTTTTAAGATTTATTTTTAAGTAATCTCTATACCCAACATGGGGCTTGAATTCACAATCCCAAGATCAAGAGTCACATGCTCTACCAACTGGGCCAGCCAGGTGCCCCTATTTATGTTTCATTCTTTATGGAGCTATTATTTGTGGGATTATTTTCTTAATTTCATTTCTGCATTGTTCAGGGCCAGGATATAGGAATACAATTTATATTTATATATTTGATCTTATATCCTGCAACCTTGCTGAACTCACTTATTAGTTCCAATAGCTTTTTATTATTCTTTAGGATTTTCTATATACAAGATCACATCACCTGCAAATATAGTTTTACCTCTTCCTTTCCAAACTGGATGTCTTTTATTTCTTTTTCTTTCCCAAGTGCCCTTGCTGGAACCTCCAGTACAAAGTGGCAAGAGTTGATATCCTTTTTTGTTCTTGATCTTAGGGGAAAAGCATCCAGTCTTTCATCATTAAGTATGATGTGAGCTGTGGGTTTTTCATAAATGGGCTTTATAAGGTTAAAGAAATTCCCTTCTAGGGGTGCCTGGGTGTCTCAGTTGGTTGAGCGTCCGACTCTTGATTTCAGCTCAAGTTGTGATCTCAGGGTTGTGGGACTGAGCCCCACATCAGGCTCCACCCTCAGCATGGGGTCTGCTTGTCCCTCTCCCTCATGCTCTCTCTCTCTCTAGAATAAATAAATAAAAATCTTAAAAAAGAAAAAAAGAAATTCCCTTCTATACCCAGATGTTGAATGTTTTCATCAGAAACAGTACTGGAGGGCGCCTGGGTGGCTCAGTCGTTAAGCGCCTGCCTTTGGCTCAGGTCATGATCCCAGGGTCCTGGGATCGAGCCCCACATCGGTCTCCCTACTCTGCGAGAAGCCTGCTTCTCCCTCTCCCACTCCCCCTGCTTGTGTTCCCTCTCTCGCTGTGTCTCTGTCAAAAAAAAAAAATAAAATCCTTTTTTTTTAATTTATTTGAGAGAAAGAGAATGAGAGATAGAGAGCACAAGAGAGAAGAGGATCAGAGGGAGAAGCAGACTCCCTGCTGAGCAGGGAGCGCGATGCGGGACTCAATCCCGGGACTCCAGGATCATGACCTGAGCCGAAGGCAGTTGCTTAACCAACTGAGCCACCCAGGCACCCATAAATAAAATCTTTAAAAAAAAAAAAAAAGAAAGAAAAGAAACAGTACTGGATTTTGTTAAGTACTTTTTGTTTCAACTGAAACAATCATGTCATTTTTGTCTTTTCTTCTACTAATATGGTATCTAACATTAACTGGTTTTCAGATTTTAAAGTAATTTTGCATTTCTGGGACAAATTCCACTTGGTTACGGTATATAATCCTTTTTATATGTTGCTAAAATTTGGTTTGCTAGTTATTTTGTTGAGGATTTTTACATCCACGTTCATAAGAGATAATGGTCTGTAGTTTTGAGTATGTGTGATTTGGTATCAGGGAATGCTGACCTCATAAAATGAGCTGGGAAGTATCTGGATTATTATTACCATTTAAACCTTCTCTAGCATCTCCCATCTTGTCCCAAAGACTCCCTCCAGCGTCTGCTCCACGTCTCTGCTCCATTTACAGCAAAGCTTCTCCCAAGAGTCATATACACACTATGTTCCTCACTCTCTCCAGCTTGGCTGCTGCCCCAACCACTCCACTGACACCATTTGTAAAGGCCCCTTTTGTTACCAAAGCCAATGATTATTTCTCAGGCCTCATTTTGCTCAATTTCTCAGAAGCATGCACCATGGGTGAGGCCCTCCTCCCACTTTCTTGGCATTCTAGATTTTCTTCCTAGAACCCAGGCTATTTCTCAGCCAATCAGCAAGACCCACTTCCTTCTTTAAAGTTTGCAATGTCTGCAAACTTGAATGTGCAGCTAAATCACCCAGGATCTTGTTAAAATGCAGATTTTGGGGGGCACCTGGGTGGTGCAGTTGGTTAAGCGTCTGCTTTTGGCTCAGGTCATGATCCCGGGGTCCTGGGATCAAGCCCCACGTCGGGCTCCCTGATCAGCGGGGAGTCTGCTTCTCCCTCTCCCTCTGCTGTTCCCCTCTGCTTGTGCTTTCTCTCGCTCGCTCTCCCGCTCTGTCAAATAAATAACTAAATAAAATCTTTTTTAAAAGAATGCAGATTTTGATCCAGCAAATCTGGGGTAGAGCTAAAGACCTTGTACATCCAACAAGCTTCCAAATGATACTGATGCTGCAGGTCTGGGCATCATTACTTTGAGTAATAAAGCTGCAAAGTATCCCACATTCTGGATGTGTCTGTCTGCTACCCTGAGGTGTCTTTCAACTTGTTCCTCTCTTCTCTGTACTACTGTAGGCAGCACTAATGGTTCTCAAACTTTGTTCATATTAGAATCATCTAGGGAGCTTTTAAAAAATCCCCATATCCAGGGGCGCCTGGGTGGCTCAGTCGTTAAGCATCTGCCTTCGGCTCAGGTCATGATCCCAGGGTCCTGGGATCAAGCCCCGCATCAGGCTCCCTGCTCCGTGGGAAGCCTGCTTCTCCCTCTCCCACTCCCCCTGCTTGTGTTCCCTCTCTCTGTCTCTCTCTCTCTGTCAAAAAAAAAAAAAAAAAAAAATCCCCATATCCAGGCCATACCCTGGATATAATAAATCAAAGTATCTAAAAATCTAGGGCCCAGGCATCAGCATTTTAAAGCACTCCAGCGGCGCCTGGGTGGTTCAGTCAGTTAAGTGCCTGCCTTTGGCTCAGGTCATGATCCCAGGGTCCTGGGATCGAACCCCATGTAGGGTTCCCTGCTCAGCAGGGAGTCTGCTTCTCCCTCTCCCTCTGCCCTCCGCCCCCCGCTTGTGCTCTCTCTCAAATAATCTTTAAAAACAAAAAACAAACAAACAAAACCCAAGACACTCCAATGACTCTAATATGCAGCCAAAATTAAGACCTTATCTGAATCTTCACTATTCAATATTCCAGGGACCAGCTATTCAACATTATCATTTAGGAGCTCATTAGAAAAGAAGAATCTCAGCCCTAACCCAGACCTCCTGAATCAGAATCCACATTTTAAGAAGAGCCCAGGTTTCTCATATGTGTGTTAAAGTCTCAGGAATGATACCTATGTGCTGATGGATTCCAAATAGTTATTTTTTTAAAGATTTTATTTATTTGAAAGAGAGAGTGAGAGTGAGTGACAGAGAGCACAAGCCGGTGGGGGGAGAGGCAGAGGGAGAGGGAGAAGCAGACTCCCCGCTGAGCAGGGAGCCCAATGCAGAGCTTGATCCCAGGACCCTGGGACCATGACCTGAGCTGAAGGCAGACACTTAATCAACTGAGCCACCCAGGAGCCCTGAATTCCAAATAGTTACTAACAGTCCTGAGCTCCAACCTCCATACCTAACTGCTACTTTGGCATATACCTAGCCATCTCAAACTTAATTTGCTCCAGAATGATATCCCTGCTTAAACTTGTTCCTCCGAATGCTAGCCAATCATACCACCATTCCTAGTCATTCAGGCCACAAACCTAGGAGTCATTTCTGAGTCTACTATGTCCCTCATTCACCCATTCAATCCACTGAGTAGTCCTGATAAGTACTTCCAAATCCATCCCAAATACATCCATTTCTCTCAATCTGCAAGCCACCACCCCAAACCATGATCTCTTTAATACCTACCCAGCTTTCCCACCAGTCAATTCTCCCTGCCATATCCAGAGAGAGCTTTTTAGAATGTAAACTAAATTCAGTGTTCTCTGCCTAAAAATCGCTACTGTTTTATCACACTTAAAATATTCAGACAGGGTCTACCCCTCCAAACTCAACTTTTTTTTTTTTTTTAAGGATTTTATTTAGGGGCGCCTGGGTGGCTCAGTCGCTAAGTGTCTGCCTTCGGCTCAGGTCATGATCCCAGGGTCCTGGGATCGAGCCCCACATCGGGCTCCCTGCTCCGCGGGAAGCCTGCTTCTTCCTCTCCCACTCCCCCTGCTTGTGTTCCCTCTCTCACTGTGTATCTCTCTGTCAAATAAATAAATAAAATCTTTTTAAAAAAAGGATTTTATTTATTTATTTGAGAGAGACAGCACAAGCAAGGGGAGGGTAAGGGGCAGAAGGAGAAGCAGACTCCCCAGGAGCATGGAGCCCTACTGCGGGCTCCATCCCAGGACCCCGGGATCATGACCTGAGCCAAAGACAGACCCTTAACGACTGAGCCACCCAGGCGCCCTCAGCTACACTGTTTCTTAAACAAGCTAAGTTTATTCTAGTCTCAGAGCCTTTGCACTTGCTTTTCCCTCTGTTTGGAAATTTCTTCCCCTAGATCAGTCCATAGCTGTCTCTGGTCATTCAGGTCTATATTCAAATGAGAGGCTTTCCCTGACCATAGCCCCACTCCCAATCTAAAGCCCCATCACCGTGATGAATGCATCGTTAGCAATTAACATCTGAAATCACCTGTTCCCTCTATTTCTGACTTGTTTGATGTCTAGCTCCCCCAGAAGATCGGAGGCTTTGTCTGTCTTCCTCATTGCTGTGTTTCCAGCACCTGGACAGTGCCTGGAATATGGTCGGTACCTAACAAGTATCAGTTGAATGGGGAGAAGAGCTAAATTTCTACAAAACGTCTATGATCTGTAAGTCTGAACCCCATGGCGGGGTGTACCTACAGCAGCGCTGAGGCTGGCTGTCAGGATTCTGGATTTCCTGGGAGAATCGGACCGACGCGGGTTCGAATTCCGGCCTAGCGGCCAACTTGCGGCGTGACTTCGGGAGAGGGCCTTAATCTCTCTGAGCCTCAGCTGTCTCATCTGCAAAATAGGAAATTAGGGACGTGGGGAGGGGCGTACACGGAGAGCGGCCTTTCCCAGCACGGCCCTGCCCCGCATTTCAAAAGGTCATGGTTGCCCTAGCCCTGCAGCTGGGTCGGTCTGGGCCGCCCTCCCGCCCTGCCGGCCCAGAACCGGCCGCCCAGGACCCAGCAGTTCGAGCTCGCCTCCTCAGTATGCGCGACCTACATACTCACGCGGCAAGCCGCGGACTCCGGGCCGGCTCGGTCTCATCTCTGGGCGCCGCCATTTTACCCAGATTGTTTCCAGGTCACGGGCCAACAGGGAGACCGCAAATCGAGAACGCCGGTTTAGAGAGGTCCCGCCCCAAGTGGAGGAGCACCAATAGGAAGGCAGAAAGACCTTGGTCCCGCCTCATACCGAACCAGGTCCCACCCCGATTAAAGCCGGGAAAAGAGTGACTGGACCGATCCGGGCTGGGAGGCTGGACTTGAGGGGCGGGGCTTGTGAATCCACCTGGAGGCCCGTTTTTCCACCTGAAATGTGGGAATGAAATATTGAAGGTAGAAGTGCTGTGATTCCTTCATTTGCTCAACTCACCTTTACTGAGCGCCTCCGTGTGCTAGGCGCAGTTTTAGGCGCTGAGGATACAGCGCTGACAGCGGTGATGGAGACAGTTTCTGCTCATCTAGCTCCATAACTCTGGGCTAGTGACTAACTCAACTGTGCCTGGGTTTTCTCACCCTGGGCCAATTATAATAACCTCGTGGGATTTTCCTGAAGTTTGAGTTAATCTATGCAGAACAGCCATATACGTGCTATTTTTATGGGGAATTCACCCTAACACCTTCCTCCACCTCCCTCACTGGGAAGGCATGGAGTCTGGTTTGACGCCTTGGGCCAACCTCACTGAGGGCCGAGGGTCCTGTGGGGTTGTGTGTTTGTGTTTGTGATTGAGTCCTGTGGCCGCAGGGGTGTATGTATGTGTGTACTGTGATGTCGGGGTGTTAAGAGTGTGGGGGTTTTCATGAATTTTTGTAGTATTTCAGAACTTGAGCAAAGGTGTGTAAGTTTGCATGTGGCAGTGTGAGTGTGGGTCAGGAATGGGCCCCATGTATATCAGTGTGAGTGAGGCCAGTCTGGGCACACGTGGTCCTTGTGTGTCCACGTGTCAGTAGCTGCGCACACACCTGTAATTGTACAACCTTCAGGGTGTCTGTGATTCTGTGCATGTGGGAGGGGGTAGAATTTGTCCCACGACTCTGAGGGGCTAGCAGTAGGTGTGGCAACGTTTCTGTGATCATTCACATGCCATAAGGTACATGTGATTGCATTTGAACCCTGGTAGGTCACTGACTATGATGCGGTGTGTGTTCCCAACTAGTGGATGAATAATTGATTGTGTCCCACTGTCAAGACCCATGTGAAGGTGTGACACCCCATATCTGTCTGTGTGTGTGTGTGACTGTATGAGTCTCTCTGTATGTGCATGACTGTGCTCATGACACCCTGTGTATCTCTCACTCTGTGTGACTCTGTCCCAGCAATGGTATTATGGGTCTGGCTATGCCAAGTCTAGGACAGTCTCTGATGTCATGCAACTCCACACGTGTGGTTGTGTCCAGCGGTTGGTGTATGTCTGTAACCCCCTGTGTGTCTCTAACTTGTAGGGGTGTGCTTGTCCCCCACCACTGGTATGTCAGGGACAGTATAAGACACTGTCTATGATTGTGCCTCAGTATTGGTCGATTCTGTGACTGTGTGGGGCTGTGTCTATGACAATGGTCTCTATGCCTCTCTCTCTGTATGACTGCACCCGCCATAGTGGGGGCTGTCACTGTGTTTGTAGTACCCCATGTGTATCTTTGTGTGTGACTGTGTGCCCCTAACCCTCAGGGTCTTCCCTTGGCTGACTGTACCCCCAAGTGTGTATGAGAGATGCAGTGTCTGGGTCCCTGGATTTGGACTTCTCTTCCTCTGTGTGCAGCACACCTGCGATCCTGGATAATCCCCTTGCCTTGGGTCAGGGCCACATTGGAGATAGTGCAGCTGGCATCCTCCCCACTGGCTGTGGGAGCTGGGCAGTTGGGCAGAGGCAGTACCTGGGGTGCACACTAGGCCACAGCACAATGGTCACTCCAGCCCATCTCTATGACGCCCCCCTCCCGTGGTTCAACCTTCTGACTTCATCTTGCGCCAGATGAGCTCCTGGGTGCTCAGCCAGCACGTATTGAGCAGTCTCTGGCTGGCCTAGGAGTGCTTTGGACTCAAACAAATGCCTGCAGTGGGACTTCAGGTAGTGCTGGGGCAGGGCAGAAGGGCCACGCAGAGAGAGGGGCGGGGCCTAACTTGCCCCTGTCCCCTCTCCAGGTGTGTATTCATCCTTCTTTCCATTGCCATCAGCGCTCTCAGCAGGTACAACCTGCTTTCCACGGAGACAGTCAACATCGATCTTACTCTTACAGAATCAGTGGGGTTGGGCAAGGGGTGGAGGGCAGGATGGGGGGGATGAGGGGGACATTCTCCGTTTCACTCCCACCCCTACTCTGCACTCCTGTGGGTGTGGGGAGCTGGCAGCATGGGGAAGTGGGTTGGACATGTGATGAAGGGATCTCTTCAGGAAGGTTCTCAGATTGAGGCTGGCCCAGCTAAGGGGGTTCATTGACCAGCCTGTGGTCTCTCTCTACCCTAGCCCAGGCAGAGATTGACCCGAGACTTTGACCCCTCCATGCCAGGCCCCCAGCTGCCCTGTCCAGAGCTGTCCAGGGTTCAGTGGGCCGCCTGCTCACCTCACGGACTGTGGCTGCTGTCTCTGGTTACCTGCCCAATGTTAGATAGGATCCAGCTGGGTGGGACCCCGGGATCCCATTCACACAGTCCCCTGCACCCTTCTGACCCCTGCTCCCTCCAGACCTGGTGGTCATTCTCCACACCTGGGATCAGATGTTCCCGTGTTACCATAAGGTTACTCTCTTTGGCTTCTATTGCTTTGGTAAAGACCCCTGGACACACACACACACACACACACACACACACACACACACACACGCCCCGCTCCATGCCCACATGTATTGAACATCGTCTGTGGGCTCAGTTACCATAAGCTCCATGAGGACAGGGGGATTTTGTTTGTTTGTTTGTTTTTTAAAGATTTTTCTTATTTATTTGACAGAGAGAGAGAGAGACAGCGAGAGAGGGAACACAAGCAGGGGGAGTGGGAGAGGGAGAAGCAGGCTCCCGGCTGAGCAGGGAGCCCGATGCGGGGCTCGATTCCAGGACCCTGAGATCATGACCTGAGCCGAAGGCAGATGCTTAACCAATTGAGCCACCCAGGCGCCCCTGGATTCTGTTTGTTATGTGTGGTGTCCCCAGCTCTATGGACAGGGCCTAGACATGGTAGGTACTCAATAGATGTTAGTTACAACAATGACTAAATTAATGCATGAATGGGCCTGATGCTCATCCCAATCTTGAAACCCTACCAACAGTCCCTTGTGACAGCCCCATGTGGCTTGCCTTCCGCATGCCTGACTAATTACCCTGCCACTACCTTTCCCCATCTTTTCCCAGCCCCAGGGCAGTCTGCTTTACCTGGCAGACGTCTATGCCAGTGTGTGTCTGCTCAAAGCCCTTCGTTAATCTTGGGTACTTGGGTTTGGGGACATGTGGGGCCTTTCTGGTCTTCTCCTGCATCCCCCTCCCTCTCCTTCAGCCTCCGATCCTCCAACTCACCTGCCCACAGTTGGTTCCTGAGTACAGCGAGCTGCCCCTGAAACTCATTAGTGGCCTTGCTATAGTCTATGTAGCTGGCATCATTGTGAGGCCATTCTCAAATGTGAGGGGTGTTGACCTTGGCTCTGCTGGCCCTGGACATCCTCGGCATGCTGTGGATGTACCACTTCACACTGTCCAAGGCCTGAGGCAAGGGAAATCTCATGACCCCGAGCAGAGAGTGGGAAGTTATTGAAAAGATCTAGAAGAGCTTCTTCAATCCTGCTGCAGACTTGGACCCTCGGCCAAAGGGTGTGGGGAGCTGTGTGTAGGAACCTGTGGCTTCTTCCCACCCCACCATGAGAGGACTCAGATTCACTCAACGGGAATTTATTGACCGCTGCCTTTGTAACAGATACTGTTCTAAGCATGGAGGAGGAACAGTGAGCACAGACAAGTCCTTCGGGGAGACAGACAAAAGACCCTTGTTCTATAGAAACATTTTACGACTACTTGCAGCTTGAAAAAAATTTAAGTGCAACCTCAAAACTGCTTAGGATATAATTGTGTCTATCATCTTGTTAACATTAATGGCATCTTGGCCTTTTAGGTAAGATCAAATGTATTATCTTGTTAATGTTAACCTATTTTGAACTTGGAACATTTACCTTTTGTTTGTTTTTTTTAAAGATTTTGTTTATTTATTTGACCGAGAGAGAGACAGCAAGAGAGGGAACACAAGCAGGGGGAGTGGGAGAGGGAGAAGCAGGCTTCCTGCTGAGCAGGGAGCACTATGAGGGCTCGAGCCCAGGATCCTGGGATCATGATCTGAGCTGAAGGCAGACGCTTAACGGCTGAGCCAGTCAGGTGCTCCGGAACGTTTACCTTTTGTAATTAAAAAATATTTTAATCCCTTCTTGCTTGTGTGTAGAGCCGGAATCTCTGTGTCCTGTGTATAATTTAAGTATTCAGATTTATGCCTTCTGTCAATCTGCCATTTCAAACAAAGCATCAAAATACATTTATTAATTCAACAAATATTAATACATTTTAAAAAACAAATTCAGGGCACCTGAGTGGTTCAGTCGGTTAACGGCTGCCTTTGGCTTGGGTCGTGGTCCCAGGGTCCTGGGATCGAGCCCCATGTTGGGCTCCTTGCTCAGCAGGAAGCCTGTTTCTCCCTCTCCCTCTGCCTGCTTGTGCTCTATCTCTCTCTCGCTGTCAAATAAATAAATAAAATCTTAAAAAAAAATCATGTTGTGTGCTGGATCCAGAAGGAAATGTAAAATTAATTTGAGGACAGGTAAAGAAACTTAAGTTCTCCAACTGGGGGTCTGGGTGGCTCAGTTGGTTGAGCATCTGACTCTTGGTTTTGGCTCAGGTCATGATCTCAGGGTCATGGGATTGAGCCCTGCATTGGGGTCTGTGCTCAGTGCAGAGTCTGCTTGAGATTCTCTCTCTCTTTCTCCCTCTGCCCCACTGGCATGCACTCCCGCGATCTCTCTTTCTAAATAAATAAATAAAATCTTAAAAAAAGAGAGAAACTTAAGTTCTCCAAGTACTTAGAATTTTCCAAGGAAGCACATATTTTCATGAAGTAAAAATGTAAAATGCTACATGTGATTAACAA